GTGTTCGTTTTGACTTCGTGTGGACGGGGCCTGAATCTCCAGCCCTTTAATTAAAGGGTCACGGTTTTCATCATCACCTGCAACAACAAGCTTTTTTTTCCTGTGTCCCATGAAATTCTTCTGGTAAATTTCATCTAGAACCTCCACTGTCTGCCTGTATATCAGCCATTAAAACATAATGAACTGAAAAAACATTTTGCGAACCCAGACTCAGTATGCTGACGGGGGGAAAATAGTGATCTGTTGGACTGCTTGGTTTAAACTACAACGAATCACGAGGGGCGCAACAAAACAAACACATCAAGGAAGTATGTACATGGTAAGTACATGGATGCCCTAACAACACAACCTCAGGGGAAGAAGAAGCTGCTTTACTATGCAAAGATGGAGTATGTGATAAAATTAGGAAGATATTCTCCCAATAAAGCAAACTGGGCTGGTTTCACTAAAGGATTAACAGCCAATCACGCTGCATGCTGCTCAGAACAGCCAGAGAAAACAAAAACAGGAAGAAAACACAGCATGAAGGAAAATGTTTTTCTTATAGGAGTCTCCAGATGCTGGTAGCTGTAGGCAGGAAGAATCTCCTGTTACATCCTCTCACTGTAAATGCTGCTATTCAACATTCATGTAGAAAGGATCATTTACCTGCAGCCTCCACCTGCAGGACGAACGGCTCAGACTGCGTCTCCGTGTCGTTCCTCAGAGCACAGGTGTAGCTGCCAGAATGTTTCACAGTCAGAGGGTTGAACAGCAGGTTGCTCCAAGTCTGTGAGAGGACGACGCCATCTTTCTTCCAGGTGACCCTGTTGTGTTGGGAAGCAGAGCATGACAAAATGCAGCGGAGCAGGGCGAAGCGACCGCTTCTGAAGCCTTCTTCACTGTAACCCAGGACCCTCATCTTTTTGTCCTCTGCAAACAAAAAATGTTTTAGTTACTTGATATTCAAACTCATTTTTGCTACTAGTCAATGTGTGCTTGGTTTATTCTTACCTACAACGGTGAGCTTTACTCCTGTTGTGTTTAAAACGCTCCCTTCAACTTCATCAGCTTCCACTCTGAAGTAAAAGGTTGCGTCATCTCCCATTTCTACATCTCTTATCTGCAGAGAGCAGTTTCCCTTCAGGTCTCCCAGGTACTGGTAACGGGGGTTGTTGTTCGTTGAGTTACTGTCAAACACAGATGAGGTTGAATCTTGACACATCAGATGGTTCTTGCACCAGCGAACTCTGATGTTCTTCAGAGGGGCTTCCGGTCCATCTCTGGAGAAAGATTTTAACGGTGTGAAGGAGCAGGGCAGGGTGGCTGTCGATCCTCTCACAGCGCAGGTAGACGTCAGCTCATGCTTAATGGTTTGACCCAGAGCTCCTGGAAACAGCATGAAAACATTTCATTATTTTACTGAGAGAACCCCTTTTTTTTCTTTTTTTTTTCTAT